CTGGGAGCAGGTGTCAACCAGCCAGAGCACCCGTGGGAGGTGAGAGAACGGCTCACTTGCACCGATGTCGTGTGCGTCTGCACTGCTAATAGCTGCGACCTCCATTCCTATAAATTTGCCACCGTGACCGATGTCGTGTGCGTCTGCACTGCCAATAGCTGCTACCTCCATTCCTATAACTTTGCCACCGTGACCGATGTCGTGTACGTCTGCTCTCTTACCTGAGAATCCGGGGTCGGCGGCAGGGGCGGCAGCCCTTAAATATGTATATAATGGGTTTCTGACCAAACGCGGCAGCAGTGTGCAATTGATGGCCTGATCCTATGCAGGATATCAAAGGGACCAGAGCGAACACGGGAAAAGAAAGCTCTTGCTGCCTGTTTTTTGCTTGCACCACTCACTTAGGGTCGGGAACTTGGAATGCCCCTCCACCATTTACCCACGCGGCCATTCTAAGTTGCCCCATTTTTTTAAAAAGCGGGTCATTCTAAATTCAGGGTATTTTCGTTTGGAAAGTGCGGAGGCATTCTAAGTTCCAGGCCGTCACTATAATATGTGTCATTTGATTGTGTTTCCACAATTGCCTCCCTGAAAGTTGGAATGCCGGCAATTTTCACCATTTAGATGGTCCCCAGATGGAACTTAGAATGACCCCCAAAAGCCACGCATTCTAAGTTTCGATAAAATTGTTAGATGGTCCCCAGATGGAACTTAGAATGACCCCAAAAGCCACGCATTCTAAGTTTCGATAAATTTGCCAAAAACACCACGTGCCCCAGACTTTATTTTTGGGCATTCTAAGTTTCACTGCAAAATTTTGGAAACTGAGCCGGCATTCTAAGTTTCAGGGGAGGAATATAAAGAAGAAAAACAAACCACCAATGACCATAGTGTAAGGTAGAATAGCTAACAAGCTGGGAATGGGAGGCCATCGCTGCTAGTAACAATAAAGCTTTCTAGTAACTAGTTGCTATTACGTAGAACGCTTTATTGTTACTGATGCTAGTAAGTGCTGTAACACCACCCAGGGAACAAAAGCACCGGTGTGCAGAGCCCTACACCCCTCCCAGCCTTGGAGCTGGAGTCCTGGATCTATCGGCGCTGGTGTTTCCTGTTGTCATTGATTGGGCAGTGATACAGTTTCCGAGGTTGGGGCTTTTGCTGTTCTGCAGTCCTCTCAACACCAACTTTCTGGAATGAGTCGGAAAAACAGGAAAGACGCATGATTTGAGGCGTAAACCCAGATTGCACAGCGGTTGTGAATAATGACTAGCGACTTGGGAACACGTTCAGGATAGATAGTGCAGTTCAATCGCCTGACTGGGAAAAGAGGGGAAAATAAGATCTGATATCTGTGGGACTCGCCTCACTTGTCCTCACTTCGCCCAAACCCCAGGCCACAGGCAGGCCTTGCGCCGAGTTCCAGCGCCGACCCTCCTGGCGCTTCCACTCCTGACCAAAACCAGGATTGGAGAGACTGTTGCCACGCTTCCGCTCTGCAATACCTCCACCTTGCCTACCGTACCCTCTCTTGTGCCCTCCCCTGCTCCAAGAAGACAAGGGTGTCCTGGGCTTGAGGCCAGGAGTCCTTGCCGTTCCAGGAGTTTCCACTTGCACCTCAGTACTCGCTGATGGGCAGGTCAAGCATCTTCAAGTTATAATTCTAGTCTTGCACAAATTTATACACAAACATTGACAGCAAGACATGTGACACTGCAAACTCAAACCGGAAATAGCGGGAATTGAACTGAGTAATACAGTATTGTATACATGTGAAATGAGACGTGTGTAGGCTTGAAATCGCCATGTTCAGAGCTCAAATAATGTGGCAGCACACGGCGAGATGCGGAGAAACAAAGGGTAATTGAGATTTGAGTGTGGATGAAGAACGTCTTCCAACCGTTAGAGGTAACAAAATGCCCCACCTTGCTGGCCTTTTTGCCACTTCTCAGCATTTGTCCAGTCCTGTTGCTCTTTCCAGTCTTCTGTCTCATCATCTGTCTTCCAGCTACCCAAGTCTTGCTTCCAGTCTTCCTGCTTTTGCTCCCAGCCTGACACTGACAAGACCTCAAACACAAACAGCGTGGAAATCGTGCCGCGACCATCACGACTTAACAGGTCAAAGCAGCTAAAGCGGGACTCTCCCAGCGCGGACCTGCCTTGCCAGCCCTGTGCCTGACAAAGCCAAAGTGATTCATTATGGTTTCGGCTCTTTCAAGTATCTTTCTGGAACAGTTGCACGAAGAACAGGTCACATAGCAAGAAGGAAAAGCCAGAAGATTACACATCAGTGCAAGGCTTCATTGAGTCTTCATCCCTCATGGCGGCCTTTGATTTGTCCCAGCTTTGCTGCTCCGGCGCCGACTGCTGTTGCCATTGTTGCTGCTCAGGCTGTCTTTTCTGAGATGACCTCATCAACTCAATAACTCCATCAAGTCCTTGATCTCAATATTTTGTTCGACGTAAGTATATATATATACATACACAGCTTTAGCTTGCACCAGGCCTACATATTCCCCCAGGCAAACACAGGGCTGTCAACCACTTAGGGATCGGAGGTTTGGGGGCTGGGTTTAAGGCGTCTCCCGTCTCCGCATCAAAGTCGCACTGTTAGGTGTCTGGACAGCAACACAACCATTAGGGACCAAAGCGCCGGTGTGCATCCCTTATGCTGAACCTCATACGCCGGCCCTATATGCCCTGTGTCACTCCAACACCAAACCTCCATGCACCAAAACTACCTTTGCATCACTAAACTTCACTGAACTGACTTCTCTCAAAGCCTCTTCGGGCAGTGTGGATAAGCTCTGGGCGTATAGCAACGAAACACTTGCAGAAAAGCAGCGGCTTTGCTGTAGCTGGGTCCTTTCCTTTTCCTTGCGGTCCCTTGCCTGGCAAGGAAAGAAATGGTGGAAATAGGAGCGGATCAACTTTGCCAACTCTCGCACGCAGCTAACATGCACAAAAGAGAAGCGCCTGCTGGCAGTGCCATCATGCCTTTCTGCATGGCACCTTTGAACACCCCACCTTTCTGCATGTACCCTTTCTGCATGCCTGCTTTCTGCATGCCTGAGCACGACATCAGCCTCTACACCACACCAAGGAAGAAATATATATATATAACAGAATTCCACAATTGGTTGAATCTACCACACACTGGAGTTGAACTTATCACCTACTAAGACTGACATACGATCAGAATGCACCACATCCCCACCCAAAGCAAATCGGAACATAGCAACATGGAGCTTGAGTATCTTTGCAAAATGTTGTGCCCGCTGCGTCAGAATTCCAGTGCCAATTCCAAGGATGCATGCATATGCTACGTCCATCACTTCAACGAAGGCCTGCAGACTTAAGCCAAGCAACCCTTAGGGCCCCACCAGAAACCCTTTCCCATCATCCACATCATCGGGTTCCAGTCCTCAAAGCAAGCTACAAGAGTCTTTCGTGGAGAAAGAAAAATGTGCCACTGGGCGCATGTCCTGCTGCGGCCTCTGTTGGTTTCGATCAAAGACCTGTCCAAAAGCAAGATCGTGAGGCATCGCTCAAAAACTTGTTCCAGCATTGGAGAGAAGAAAACCTGCCTCCTTGGGTGGCGGTGCGTTCTCTGGTGCAGGTGGATCCCCCTGCTTCTGCCCAAAGGTGCTGCCCTAGGAAGCACCGGAGCTGGCAATCGTGCACGCAAATCGCATCACTGCCATGGTTCCCAGCAACCACTTATATGATATCATATGCAAATAGATACACATGTCATCATACAAAGAGAGACCCTGTGCTGCACACTGCATGTCTCACCCGCGCCTTCACCACTAAGTTGGCTTTGGGCCCATCCATCGGTGCGGTCTTGCTCGTGGTGGGGGTTTTGTTAAACGGCCGGATGATGCCGCTTGAAACCTGAGATCTTGGTGCAAGCGCGCTTGGTAAATAAATGCATGCCATTTGACTCATTAAGTTTCATCCTCCTGTCTGCAGGAGGCCCCACCACTTCCTGTGCAGTTTCAACCGCGCTGCCTTTTCTTTGATGGCGTCCTGCCAATTCAAAACTGAGGAGCTAAGCGCAAGACACAAAATAACGCAACTTGCGGACCAACTTTAGCGCACCCAAGGCTGCCTCGTTGATGTAATTTCCCTCCAGTCTCAAGTAGAGGGGCATGCCAACGGTTGGACTGCTAGTAGGCTTTGGGAAAAGTGGGCTCTCCTGTCCAACTCACAGGCACCACAGGGACAGTCTTCACACACACATCAACATCAACATCAACATGGTAGTCTTTCAGGACACTCCCGGACCTCCAAAGCGGAGGCCAGGCTGTTGAAGCCCTCTCTAGTCAATGCACCTCAGATTTGTCTATGAAATTACCGGTTGCGCTTTGCAGATTCCCAGGTTTCTCTACAAAGGGACTTGTGCGTACGCTCATGATTGCATAAGTCTTCTGTGCACACTAGGCGTGTTTTAAGGACTCAGTGGACTTACATAAACTTCAGCCGACAGTCACCCTAGAGCTAGGACATCAGTCCCTCACTGTGCTGCTTGACACAGGTTATCCGTGTTTCTCAACCCAAGCAAGGTATAGTACCCGTATAGTATGGCACATTTCATGCCAAATGTTCATCGGCATTATATAGTTGCAGTACGTGTTTTTTGTTGATGTAAATGCGCAAATCCAGTTCGCTGTGCCACTGTGCGTATCACAACAGCGTTTCACTCAGACTCATCGATGGGTTCCATTGCCCCTGCTCCTACATTCTGGACCTTATGTTTGCACATCTGGTTGCTAAGCTACAATTTCAATCCTTGAAACTAGCATTCATATCATCTCTCCTCATCGAAGGTGCGCATGGGACAGCACAAACAAAGCAACCTGGGCGTACAGTGCATAGGCTCAACAATGCCGCGAAAAACGTGGCATCAAGGTGGCCATGGCACAGTCGCTCAAGTGCAGCTCCAAAGGTGCACAGTCCACGGTAAGTTGTCTGAGGTAATCGCCTCAAAAAACGCAATGGCATTCCGAGCTGTCTTCTGCAAAAACACTAACAAAAACAAGCAGCTAAATAAGCTATTTTGCCTGAGAAGGGAAAGGACGAAGACCAGCCTCCGTAAGAAGACATAATCAATGTGGTTATGGATTGCAAAGCAGCCGGTATGCTTAACACGTGCCCCCTCCGGGGTGCAAGGCAAGGGTTGAAACAAGGTGCAGGACAAGGATTGGATTGTTGCTGACTTGGTGCAAGTCTAGGGTTGGAATGTTGCTGACCTGGTGCAAGCCTGGGACATTCATTCAAGAATGTGGGGAAAGTTGGGGGGGTGAGAACCGATGGGAAATGGTGCACAACAAGGTTCAAAATCCCAGCATTGGCGGTGCAAAACACTGCCAAAACACAGTTCTCAGTTCTCCCGTTCTCCCAGTTCTCTTTTTACTAAGCTTGCAGTGGTTATCAACAACCTGTACAGCTCAGAGTTCCAGCCAAAGTGAAAACTAGGATGCGGAGACAGGGTCAGCTTTGTGAACCCGAGAAGCAGATTCGCAACCAGATGATTCAATTGATTCGCCTGAATGTGAATCATCATCGGAATCATCATTCTCGCAATTGCGACCCGCAAGGTCACTAACCTGTAAGTGCACCGTATCCGGCCGAGGAAGCCAGAAATGTTCTCGGATACCCGTAGCCATCAAAACCTGGGGCGACAAAATGAGCTGCGGCTCTCCAATCAGAGTGTCAACCGCCGTGTATTTGGTTCAGTTCAATAAACTAAATGTAATCCAACCATGGGTCCTTTCTTGTTCGAACTACAGTTTCCGCCACAGCATACGACTGCGAGCAAGGTACGCTCGTCAAGACTGCTCCAACCACGGGAATCGACATTGCATTGCCTTCGCCAATAGGTACTAGGTAGGCGGTAGGCTCAAACAGGAGGTAGGCGGGTTTGGGTACCCTATGAATCATATTCATATGAATCTGAATATAGTTTAATATTCATATGACTGGACTCTGACTCTGCCTGCCCGCCGCCACACAAACTAGCAACAACGTGATTTCTCGCCTGACATCAAGCGACATAGCACTGGAGAAGTGACACCACTAAAGTCAAGCAACTGCATGTTGTAGCCATGCCTGCAACACGCCCAATGCCCCAAATACAGTACAATGAACATACTGTCATGACAGACATGTCAAGACTAATTCGCAAGCGGTTCTGGAAGCTGAAGCTGAGGAACAAAGCCATGATGTCAGGCCCTTCCAGAATCGAATTGGTGCGGAAATCGTAGATCTTGGAATTCGTTGTCAACCTCAACCCCGAAGAACCCAAAGCTCAACAAAAGCCTCAAAAGCTTGACGTCATCCAATCAATCACCCAAAATGAATGTGTTGTCCATCATTGAAAAACACTCTTTTGTTCTCTGCAATCTTCACATCAGAAAGTTGAAAGCAAATCAGCCAAAGCTTTGACTCAAGGACCAGACACGTGGGTGACAGCCCATCCACACGGCACGCCTTCCGTCCCAAGCTTTTGATGACATCGGTCACTAAGTCATTGCGTTTGTCCTCGCTGGCAAGATAAATAACTAGCAAGCCGCGCGTCCTCCGTATTGTCAGGAGTCAAGACTGTCAGTCCTGGAACATATGCCACAAGAGGTCTAATTGCTCGCATTCTCGGCCGTTCAACGTCCTTCCCCAAGCGTCGCCAAATCGCTCCCGACAACTCAAAGTGTACCTTTGCACTCGTGGGTGTTTGGGGAAAAACAAATTTGGTTTCTTTGTAGGCCCGGCT